AAAAAAAAGAAAAAGAAAAATTAAGGGGACCTTAATGGTGGGTGATGGAAGGGATGTCAAATCCTTACTCTTATATATATATATATAGAACTAAAAGATAAACTCACAACTTGATTTTTCAATTATTGCATAGGTTTTGGAATTAATTCTTAAATTTAAAAAAAAAAATTCTATTTTGGTTTTAAAAATTTAAAAATGTAGTCCTTTTTGTTCTTCTAATAAAAATTTACTAATGTGACTCGTGCAAAGTTAAGTATCATTAATTTGTAACTAAATAAAACATTAAAGTAATTAAATGTTAAGAGTGTTAACAACTAGACAGTCGCAGTGCAGCACAGCCCCCTTCCCTTCTAACAATTTCCTTTGACATTAGGTTGGCAGGATTCCAATAGATTAATGTGACTACTTACTTGATGAGAAGAATGACATGTACCAAAATTTTTTACATGTAGGATTGAGAGCATGCATGGTAAAAAGAATGAGATGGGGAAAAAAAAATTTAATGTTCCCTTTTCTTTTTCTTTTTTTCTTTTCTTCCTTTTTCGCTTTCTCCTTCCTTTTCCTTTCCTTTGCCTTATGTAAATCACAACTCTTTAACCTACAATTGCCCTACTTTTTTCTTCATTAACCTAATCAATTCAAAGAAGATAAATTCACACTTTCCTTCAAAGACCCACTGAAGAATCTTTAAAACTGGACCAAATCTAACTTTGCTAGCCCCTACAATAGATTGACCTCCAATTTACCCCCGTGCCACCTATAAAGATGGTTGCATGTACAAGCTTTCTCTCTCTAGTTTCTTTCACCAAGGTACATTTATCCTTTTCTCTCAAACTATACCAATCTTCAATCCCTTGACTTCTCCTCCAACTTAATCACCAAACCCATCCCCCAAGATTTGTAATACTTGGTCAATCTAGCAATTTTGAATCTCTCCCACAATCGACTTGACCGTGAGATTTTTCCGTAACTTGCATTGTTCGCTTACCTAAATGTCATAAATCTTCATGACAATTTGCTTTTTGGGTAAATTCCTTAGTAGTTGGGTCTCCTATACACCTGTATGCTTTTGATGTTTCATTAAATAAGCTTTCTAGTCCCATTTTGGCTTCTTTAGGGAACATAAGCAGTGATTTTCCAAGATTTAATGTCAGCTCTTTTGAAGGGAATAAGGATCTCTATAGGTACCCTTTGCCACTTATGAAGCCCAAAGGATTATCGGTTTTGACTATTGTCTTGATCCGACTCGAATTTGCAAAATTGGTGCTCATTTTCACTGGAGTACATATATAGTTAAAGATTGCAAAGTAAAAGATGGATGCCAAAGAGGCAAATATTAGTTAGTTTATGCTTGATTATTAAACTTAATAACACATAATTGAAGATTATTATGCTCAAATGCAAGGTTTGCTATTTTAAGTACGAGGTTGTGAGATAATAGAAATTGTAATTACTGCTAAGAAATCAAAAGGAAAGTGCAAATTTATCTTCTTTAAATTGATTTAGTTAATGGAAAAAAAAATGTAGAGCAATTGCAAGTTAAGGAATTAGGGTTTGTACATGGCGAATGAAAGGAAGAGGAAAAAGAAAGGAAGAGGAATAAAAAAAGAAAAAAAAAAGAAAAGGAAACTTTCTAAGTTTTTATTTTTTTTTTCATGTCCTTTTTTTTTACCATGTTGTTAATCCAACGTGTGAAAATTTTGTACATATCATTCTTCTCTCATCTAAGTAAACGTTAGTGAATTTTTAACGAAACGATTAAATGAGATTAAATTTTTAAAATTTAGGATCAAAACAAAAGATTTTAAGTTTAAAGATCAATTTAAAGGTTCATATAATATTTAAAGAATCAAATTAAGAATTTAACTTATCTAAAATATTATTTAACATAAGTAAAGATTTTGAATATTATTTATTAATTTTTTAAAAATTTAAAAATTTTATTTGAAATTAAACCTATTTATCTTTGGAGGTGATTTTTAACACTTTATTTTTAATTGATATTCCTCTTTTCTTTTGTTGTGTATAAGAC